AAAGCAAAGGTGAAATTGTTAGTGAAGAAGGACATTAATTGAAGGTAAACATGTAGGGGAATAAATGTCACTAATGTTTCATTCTTGTTTCCTTCTCAAAGTAGCATTGCTGCTGTGCGTAAATCACTCAGCTACTATGATCCCAGACATTTGGTTTGCAGAATGACCTTTCAGTTACTGTTAAGTCCTAAAAATCAAGAAGTCAGAAGAAACACTGAAAGCATTCAGCACCCTAAAAGCACTTAATGTAGTGAGAAACAGGATTCACTGTCTAAATAACTCCTGGGGTTATCATAGCCTGCCAATAGAACATAATAACTTATTTTCAGGGGAAAAAAGTGATAAAACTAACATAAAAATTTTAAAATTATCTCTGCCTTGTTCAGTTTAATAATGTAGTGAAATGTACAATATATTCAGAAAGAGTTCCATCAGAAATTATAAATACAATGTAAGACCCCTCACTTTTCACTAATGTAGGAATATACTGTATTTGTGGATAAAGTTTTTCAATGTCCAGTACCCTACCTCTGATAGTGATAAAGAAATTAAGCTTAACATTATACAATCTGCTTTCCTCCTAAAACATAAAATAAAAGACACTTAAAATATTTAACATTGTCTACGTCCTTTCATATTAGTATTAATTAAAATGTTGGAAATAATATCTGAAGCTTTGTTTCTGGATACTTGCTCTGTTAAGATAGCATTATAAATTCTTATGTTTGACAAAGACTTAACCATTATACATGATCTTTTCTTTCTTGACTTTGCATAAATATTCTTTGACTTTGGATCTTCCTTGAGATGCAAATTGTAGAATACTTGGAAGGATTACCTGATTAACCCTGAATAAAAGAAAAATTATGAAGCAAATTGGCTTACATTTTATCATTACTATTACTATTACAGCAAGGAAAAGAAAGCGATATTTTATCTCAGTAGTTACTTCAACCTCATAGAATATTTAATATGGATTAATGGACTGTTAAAAAATCTTCTATTGTTGCAGGTAGTATGCTCAATTTATCTATTATATCTTTCACTTAGAATTTATTGCCAGGTTAAAAGTATGCTATTATGTAAATTGCTATAATTTTCTACCTCTCTCGAGTGTAATCATGGTTGGTATATTACTTATATTTATTTATCCAGAATACAGAGTATTAAAGGGATGTTTCTCAGAGAGGTAGAGTTCAGATCCAAATAATGTCTTTTTTGTTTTTTCTGTCTATGGCATAATCCCTGTAATCTAGGAATTTTCTAATTCTCCTTCACCTATTTGCCTACAATAAAACAAAGCAAGAAAGAACTAGGAAATTTACTATCAAATGCTCAAAATATAGTTGTCAGAATTTGAAATCATGTTGTCAACATCCTATATAGATAAAATTGATCTTCATGACTAAATATGTGGAAAATGTACAGGATATTCAAATAGAAACAAATAAAAAGGTAAGAATACTGTAGGAAGCTAGGGCTAGAGAAGTATTATTTTAACCTGCAAAAGAAAATTATCATTATATTACTCATAGTTTTGGTTCTCTAGTGTTCCACTAACAGAAATACCACAAGTGGATGGCTTTAACAAATAAGGACTCATTTCTTACAGTTTAGGGGACTAGAAGTCTGAGTTCAAAGTGTCAGCTCTAGAGGCTGGGTGAAGTCCCCTTGAACTTGGGCTTCACCTCTAACTCTTGCTCCTGGCCCACTGAAGCTGGAGGTTTCTCTTAACTCAGGCAGCTGTTGGCTGCTGAGACTGATAAACCCAAGGTCAACAAAAAGAATAGTACAGTCCCAAGATTATTAACACCACAGCAGGCCACTAGCTCAAGTTGAAAAACAGTCCCAAGATAGGCAGATGACATAGCTGGCCAGTGAGATGAAGACTAGGCCAAATGCAGGATCCAGATGTCAAAAAGCACAGAGGCCTTTCTCCAAGCTTCTTCTTATATACGGGAAGTAGACCACATCCCTAGGGCTACTGACAGTAGATTCCACCACGGAGTTGATTCCCAGTCTCATCATGGGGAATGATTACATCCAGCTTCCCAGACACTCGAAACCAGGCCTAGCCAAGTTGGCACATAACCTTACCTATCACAATGACTATACAAAAATATAATAACTGGTAATTAGGGAGAAGCAGAGGACAAATCATTAGAGAAAAACAGTATTAATTGAAGAGAAACATGACAAGGAGTGAAGCTACTATTATTAGTAGTATTTATTAAATATTAAATATTGCACTAGCCCTATAGATACAGTAAATTGTTCTTTACCATAGCCTGCAATTATTGCTGCTAACCAATTTGCAGATAAGACACTCTATCTTGCCTGAGGTCACATTGCATAACTAGCAAGTGGCAGAGTTAAAATTTGCATACTGGTCTGACTGATGTTAATCATGTTATTTTTCCACTATATTATGCTGATCACTCCAATACTTGTAAAATAATATGATACATTAAAAAGTATTTGAGAAATATTAAAAAATTTATTATTTTTTTTGTAGTTCATATCCTCCCTTTAAACTTTAAATGTACTTTTGACCTTTACCAATATATGTAATTAAATATAGTTATGGAAAATGGGGCTGCTTTTTTATTATACAGATTTTAAGATTCTATTCTCTGGGAATAATAAATAACATTTCTAGATTCTGATATTAGACTCCTGAGAGACAGCACTTATAAGGGATAGACTTCAAAAGATCCACTATAATAAATACACTTTGGAAAGAACTGTAAGAGAATGCCGTACCTATCCTCTTCTAGGCCAATAACTTAATAATCTTCCTTTTGTTACTCTTTCATATTTGCTACACATAAATTTCATTTTATATATCACGTATAATGTCACATACCAATAACATGGGCTCTGAAAGGCAGGTAAACCTGGTTCAAATCCTGACCTCATCACTAATTAATGTGTGACCTTGCACAAGTTACTGAACATAAGCAACTTTACATTCCTAAATCTGTATATGGAAGGAAAAAAAAAAAAAATCTTCTGTAGCATGTTCGTTTATTCAAATTATTTTATTGAGAACTTTATACCAGATAGTGTTTTAGGTCTAAGGGATGTATGGTGTAGAATGAATGAATAAATGAACAAAATCCCACTGCCATTGAGTTGATTCTGAGTCACAGTGACACTATAGGACAGAGAAGAATCGCTGTAAATCTTTACAGAAGCAGACTGCCTCATCTTTCTCCTGTGGAGCAGCCGGTGGATTTGAAACACAGACCTTTTGGCTAGACCTGACTGCTTTAACCACTGAGCAACTAGAGCTCCTTAATGAAGGAAATATTTCTAGGCATTCATCATAACTAAAACTTAAGCATTCTCTCTTCACAGAGAATTTAAAATCCAGTAGGAAAATCATTTGCAATGTAATGAAACAAGTGTCTCCAGTAAATCTATGATAAATGCTAAGAGAAGATATAGGTAGTATAAACTGCTATCACAACACACAGCCCAATTATCTACACTAACCTTGGGTGGTTAGAGTTTTCTTCCTACAGAAAGTGATATGAATGATCCACACTTGCTTCCATCTAGTCAATTCCAACTCTTAGCAACCCCTATCAGATTGCCAAGGTTGTAAATCTTTATGAAAGTAGATTGCCTCATCTTCTTCCCATGAAGAAGCTAGTGGGTTCAAACTTCCTACCTTTTGGTTAGCAGCCCAATGTCTAACCACAGTGCCATCAGAGAAGCAGGAGAGAAAAGAAAGCTTTCATAGTGTTCCAGAAAGAAGACTGGCATTTGTAAAGGCTTGAAAGTGGCAGAATATAAAGTGTTTGTGAAATGGAAAGAATTTCAGAACAACTGTGTATTAGTTTTGTAGAGCTGCTATAACAAACTACCAAAAACTTGGAGGCTTAAAACAATAGAAATTAATTTTTTCACAGTTCTGGAAGCCAAACATCTGAAAACAGTTCCTTTTAGTGAAAATCAAGATGTTGGCAGGGCCATTTTTCCTGTAGAAGCTCTAGTAGAAAATTTGTTCCTTGCCTTTTGCAGCTTTAGGTGCTTGCTAACACTTCTGGCTTGAGGCTACAACATTCTAATTTATATCTGACAGTCACCATGACTCCACCTAGTCTCTATGTCAAGTCTCCCTCTGCTTTTCCGTTATATTACTTGATTTGCATTAAGGTCCCACTTGGAAAACCCAGGTTAATCTCTTGTCTTCAGATCTTTTCTTAATCCCACCTTTTGGCATAAGAGAAAATAGTTATAGATTCCAGGGATTAGGATCTGATATCTTTGGGAGACATATTTTAGCCTACTATCTGCTACAATAGGTTGTAAGATAGACGTGGCAACATTTCGGAAATTATACATAGGCTTCAGAGACATGTCATCCCCTCTTCACAGTCTAATTTCTTGGAAAATTTTCATAAAATTTGTGTATTCAACTTTCACCCAGTTTATTATAGATTAGATTTTATTTCCTTCCCAAACCACATCACAAAAACTGCCCTTGCCCCTTGCCAAATTCAACAAGGAATACATTTTTAATTGCATCTGAGTAGCATACTTTAGTTCCTGTCTAAGATGCCATCTCAACAGCCCTCAAGGTTGCTGTCTTTCTTGAAACACATCTTCATCTTGCCATCACTGACAGCATATTTCTTTGCTTCCCTCTTACTTTTTTTTTTTTTTTCCCTCCTGGCTCATCTGTCTCTGCTTAACCCTCAAATGTTCTTTCATTGTTTCCTTTGTCCTCATTCCCTTTTTATTTGGTGGAAGAGTAGATTCATCACTCTTAAATCAATACTCTGAATTATTTAAAGTGTGTTCAGGTCTTGGAGTCTTGGGTAGCACAGCTAAGTGCTTGACGATTAGCCAAAGTCTAGCAATTTGAACATGCCCAGAGGTGCCTTAGAAGAAAAGCCTGATGATTTGCTTTCCAGAAGGTCACATCCTTGAAAACCTTGTGGAACAGCTCTACTCTGCAAACATTGGGTTGCCATAAATTGGAATTGAGTAGAAAACAACTAACAACATTCAAGTATTATAAATTTATTTTTGCCATTGTGATGTTTCATTACAATGTTTCTATATATTTATTTTTACTTATCTCACTATAGATTATGCTTCTATAGTTTTCCTTCCGAGGAGTGGCTGGTGGGTTTGAACCGCCAGCTTTCTGGTTAGCATTCAAGTGCCTTAGGCACTATGCTACCAGAGCTCCTAAAGTATGCTACTCAGATATAATTTAAAATGTATTCCTTGTTGAATTTGGCAAGGGCAGTTTTTGTGATGTGGTTTGGGAAGGAAATAAAATCTAATATATAATAAACTGGATGAAAGTTGAATAAACAAATTTTATGAAAATTTTCCAAGAAATTTGACTGTGAACTTGGAATGATTAATGTGATAGCTATGGGGCAAACAGTTTATGCTTGACTATGAACCTAAAGGTTTGTAGTTCAAACCCACCCAGGAACATTGTAGAAGAAAGACTTGGAAATCTACTTCTATAAAGATTACAGACAAGAAAATCTTAAGGAAAAGTTCGACTCTTCAGCACATGAGTTTGCCTTGAGCTGGAATTTGACTCTGTAACAATCGGATATAATGAGATATATGTTATCAGTGGAGAGCTAAGTTGTTGATAATCTTTTTCAAAAGGAAGAAGTTTGAACATACATATATAGTAATAGGAATAAACCAGTAGAGTGAAAGAGATTGAAAACATGAGAGAAATAATTGAGAAAATAGGAAAGTATGGGATCCACCATACAGGTATAAGGATAGCCTTACTTTGCAGAAAGAACATCCCTTCCAGCCTATCAAGAGAAGGTGGTTATAGGAATAGGCATATGTGCATTAT